CCTTGGGGGAGCCAGGGCCCTACCTGATGGTTGGAGATGCTCCCCTGGACAAGGGGGAGTCCTGCAGTGGGAGTCGAGGTGACCTGGCCGAGCTGCCCAATGGCCTGGGGGAGTCGCGTGTCTCGGAAGACGACACGGATGATGATGGGGAAGACTTCGCGCCACCCATTCTGAAAGAGTTGGAGAACCTCAGCCCGGAGGAGGCAGCCCACCAGAAAGCCGTGGTGGAGTCGCTTCTGCAGTAAGGACCCCACCCTGTCCCCAGCACCCAGGAAGGAGCCCATAGCGGCCCACTTCCCGCCTAGCGTCCTCGGCAGCTGTGGCCTTCAGGCTGGTGGTCAAGAGGGGAGAGAGCGCAAGGGATTTTTGCTTGACCCACTCCTCTGCTTGGTCCCATGTATATGCCATATCCTGTGGGCTACCGTCTGCAACCCCGTCCTTAGGAAGCAGGGGCGGGTGGGAGGTCACTTTGAAGCGGAGGACAAAGGAACCAAGCGCCAACGAAAAGCTTGAGCAACCAGAGGGTAGAAGAGACCTTTAGCCACCGTGGTCATTTGTGCTCACGCAAATACCACTTTCTTGGCTAGGTGGTCAGCCCCCAGATTTGGGGGCCCAAAAGCTTCTGAGGAGGCCGGCTGAGGTTGGGGTTTTAGGGGATTTCCTGGCGCACCAGGGCCTTAAACTGGCTAAGCCGGGGTTTCTTACCTGAGGCAGATGGACCACTTCCTGAATGGCCACGTCTGTCCCCCCCCAACCCCTGCCGGGATAGCAGTTTTAGCAGCCTCCCTGTATCGCGCCCCCTCATCTGTTGTCTGACTCCCCATCTCCTGGAGTGCTGGGTGGGTCCCAGTCTCGATGCCGCCCCTCTCCTCAGCAAAGCTGACCTGGTTACTAATTACCCATGCGCTTTATTATTTCTTTTGTTTTATAAATTTATAAATAGCAAAAGGCTCTGATAAGGCCTGTGATCATTAACTTGTAGGGATGGTGGCTGGGAGATGCCCAGTGGGGGGTGGAGAAAGGTAACACCGGGGTGGGGGGAGGGTGACCTGGGGGCTATGGGGAACCACTCCCTCCCAAAGCTCCATATTTTCCTGCGAATATCTCCCTGCTTGCTACTTTCTGTTGGGATTTCATAATGCTTAAATTCCTAGAATATGGAGATGAGGCCCAGACGGAAGCTGTTACTAAATAAGCTTCACAGATGGGGAAACTGAGGCTCGAACTTGGGTTGGAGCTATGAAAGAGGGGGGGCCTGAGGGCTGGCTGAGGAGTTTGCCAGAACATTCAGGAAGCAGCTTCTTTTCTGTCCAAGGTCCTGATCCTGCTTGGGGTGGGGGAGGGCTGGTGGAGCCCAGTGTTTCTGGAAGTGTTGGGGAACCTCCCTGGGCCTTGGGCAAGGGGCAGGGGAGCAGTCAGGCCCCCTGACTTGGCAGGAAGAGGAGGGCAAAGGGCTGCCTCGCTGCAGGGGAGGGGCAAAGGGCCAGGTATTGCCAGACCCAGGGCACAAGAAACCTGGATAGGGTGGGGCCGGGCCTGAACTGTTCAGGGGCCCCAGGTGGGACTAGGGGCTCAGGGGACAGGGGTGCCAGGGTCTTCTTACCTGGGTAGGTAGGACCTCCTGATCAGCAGGCCCCATGGTGGGGGAAGTAGAGGCTGGAGTGGGGCTTGGTCCAAAGCAGCTAAGAGGTCAAAGTGCTCCCTGGGGGCCAGCAGAGTCCTGGAAGCAGACAAGGAGAGGAACTTCAGGGAGGATGAGGAGGGAGAGGGTCTCGGAGCAGCTGGGAGAAGGGGCAGGGGAGAGAGACCGAGCTGGGAGGAGGCTGGAGTTCCTCCCTCCCAGGTTGGTTTTCTTTAATGCTAACAGCGTGCTATTTGCTTTCCATTTAAATTCGAGATGTTGCTATAAATTATCAACCAGCTCCTTGTTCCTGCGGAGTTTATAACTAACTACCTGGGTTACTTATTGTTCAGGTAACAAAGGGGACCTGAAAATGTCCCAGGGACAAAAGTGGGGCCTCTAGTGTCAGGACAAGGGGGTGGGAACTCTGGGGAGGACCCCCATAAAGGCCTGGGTAGTGGGGAGGTTGAGGCTGGAGGAGGGGTTGGTAAGCTCCCCAAGGGAGCTGTTGGTTCAAAGACCTACATTTGGAAGGGGCACCCCAAATGACACCCCAATTCTCTTAGATTTCTATCCTTTGGATCTCTACTGTGTGATCTTGGGCAAGTCTCTTTCCCTCCCCTGCCTCAGTGTTACCAGGTAGACAGGGAATAAAGGCAAATTCTCTGCCTAGGTTCTAGGTCTACTCCTTCCCCTCCCCTCTCCCAGCCTCCCTACCTTCTTTATCCTTTTTTTGGTACCTGTGATGCTGACTTTGTTAGTCTTGGATGCATAAGTTTATTTCTATCTCACAGCCTTTGCCTGTCTTGTTCTTCCTGTTCAGGACCCTGCATCCCCCCCTTCTTCCTTGGCTCTGAGCTCCCTCACTACCCTGTCTGCACATGGGCTGTACCCCACTTTCTCTCTCCTTCACTGAGTCCACCTACTCTCTCTGGTCCCTTAATCATTTAGTTATTTTATTTGTCTCTTTGTTCATTTCTTGTCTCCTGATGTGAAAACATCTCCAGGGAGAAAGCTTGTGACATCACCACTGCCCCCCCCAGCCCTGACATGCCAGGTATGAGTGAGCAAGAGATTAGACTTCCCTGAGGACACCTCCTACTCCTCCCTAGGGGAGTACTTGGGATCCAGAGCTCTATCCTGGCTGCCAACTGCTTAAACCTCACCCTTGCTGTTTCCTGACCCCCTGTCAAGCAGCAGCAGGGTTCTTCCTTGCTAGGAACACAGCAGTATGCACGAGGCTTCACCAGACAATGGCCTGCCTTGGTTCCCATCCCAGCTCCGTCCCTTCCAGTCAGCTAAGTGGGTTCTGTTCCCCAAGTCCCAGTTGCCTCTGCAGAACGGTGAGGACAACACTCAGCACAGGGTCAAGAGCATGACACACAGCTGAGCAGTAACCAACCTGTGTGACTTAAAGCATTAAGAATCAGTTGCTCAGACAGGTGGTGGCACACGCCTTTAATCCAGCACTCAGGAGGCAGAGGCAGGCAGATCACTGAGATCACTGAGTTCGAGGCCAGCCTAGTCTACAGAGCAAGTTCCAGAACAGCCAGAGCAATATAGAGAAACCCTGCCTAAAAAAAAAAAAAAAAAAACACCAAAAAACAAAAAACAAGCAAACAAAACCAAAACCTAACAAACAAACAAACAAACAAACCCCCCCAAAAACAACAAAACAAAAAACCCTCACAAAAGGTTTAAAGCTATATTAAATTTGGGTTTCCTTCTGAACAATTTCTGAAACACACCACACACACACACACACACACACACACACACACACACACACACACACACGAGACAGGGTTTCAAGTTTGCCAAACTAGCCTCAAATTTAATATATCAAGGGTGATCTTGAACAACTAATCCTCCTGCCTCTACCTCCCAAGAGCTGAGATCACAGACATGTGCCACTATACCTGTTTTATTTTTTGATTTTTTTAAGACAGGGTTTCTTGTGTAGCTGGGCTGTCCTAGAGCTCACTGTGTAGACCAAGCTGAATTCGAACTCAGGGATCCACCTGCTTCTTTCTCCGCCTCCGGAAGGCTAGGTAGGATTACAGGTGTGTGCGACCACAACTGACACCCAGTTTTATGTGACACTGACTGAATCCCGGACTTTGTGCTTGGCAAGGGCTTCCCAACTGAACTATATCCCTGGTCCTGAGAAATAGGAAGTATCTTTAGTTCTACTTTATATGTGAAGAAATGGGGGGGGCGGGGCATGAATGTTAAGCCACAGTGCAAGGCCATTCAAAGAGTAGGTAGCAGAGCTGGGAGTCTTCTGCAGATCTAAGATTCCCACCCTCACCTGAGAATTCAGCTTCCTCTCCAGAGGAGTAGCCCTCCTTCAGTCTAGTCCCTCAGATCCATGGCTCTGGATACCAGACAACCAAGGGCTCAAAGCTGGGGACACCTGTTTGACTACATAATAGGAAGGGGAAGATGAGGGCCGATCTTCAGTCTTCTGGGTTCTGCTTTGGAGACAGGAGTACACAGGACCACAGTGGCAATGATGATGATGACGACAATATCATTCCACTTACTGGACCCTTGCTGTGGGCCAGGCTCTGCCCCAAAGCCTTCGTCCCCACTGCTGATTCATTTTCTTCTTCCAGCAGAGTCAGAATGAGTGTACACAGACTTGCACCCATGTGGGAGAGATGGATGGAGGGAGGGAGGGAGAGGGAGGGAGAGAGAGAAACAGACTAATCCAGTAAATCCCCCCTCCTAAAAAAGTGGCACAGATGACTCCTCCCAGAAAAAGATAGGAAATGAGCCCTTTCAGCTCTGACAGCTTTATTTATTTATTTATTTATTTATTTATGCTGAGATCATAGGCCTGTACCACCCTTGCCTGGCTGTCTGGAATTTTATAATCACTTTTTGCTGATGTTAAAAGGACTGTTTAAAAAGCAGATGTGATGGTACATGCCTTTAATTCTGATGCTGGAGAGACAGAGGCAGGAGGATCTCCATGAGTTCCAGGTCAGCGGAGGCTATATAATGAGGCCTTGTTTCATCTGCCCTCCCCCAAACAAAACAAAAGTTCCTGTCATATTTTGAACAGTTTTGCTTCCACTCAAATGCTGGTCTTCTGTTTGTGCTGTGTGTGTTTGTGGAAGGTGGCTGCTGTATCTATTACTTTATTATTTGACCTAGTACAGAAGAAATCAAGAGAGATAGAAATAGGGTGGGGAGAGGCTGAGGTTAGGGAGGGAGAGAGGAAGGGAAGAAAGGAGAGAGAGAGAGACAGAGAGAGACAGAGAGAGACAGAGAGAGACAGAGAGAGAATACGAATCAGAGGCACCTTGGCAGAATATAAGAAAAGCCCCACCTGTGTAAGTAACCAGTCTCCATGCAGAGAAGGGAGAGGGAAAAGCGAGGGTAAGAGGGGAGGGAGGAAGGAGAGCAGGCCCAGGGCTGTCCTTGCCAGAGAAGGGAGGCCACCAGATAAATATGTTTGCAGAAGCACAAGCTGGACTTTGTCCCTGCTTTCCTCCTAGCCCTGCCTGGCACCCAGGAAACAGAGGAGGGGTGAGGTTCCAAGAAGCCCCTGAACATAGAATATGAAAGGAAGCAGGGAGGAGTCTTCAGGTGGGGCCCCTGGGATGAGGAATATTCTTGAGCCCAGGCTAGATCAGCAGAGCTTTGTCAGAGGTGGAGTCAGGACCCAGATGAAAGGTACTTCCGTACTTCTGGGGTTTCCTGTGAGACTCAGGCAGCTCCCAGTGACCCCTGGTAGTCATTCGTCCTTTTTATTTGCTGTGTCAGTTTGGATTAGTCTGTCCACCTTTTTTGCACCCCTGCCGGTCTGGTGACTGTTGATAACAGGAGGAGTCTCAACCTTCCTAAAGCTGCCACCCTTTAATACAGTTCCTCATGGGGTGACGCCAACCATAAAATCACGTCCACTGCTACTTCATAGCTGTAATTTTGCTCCTGCTATGAACAGCCATGTGACTCTGTGAAAGGGGTCATGGAGAAGCGCATTCTCCAGGCCGTGGGGTGTGAGGCAGAGCGGAAGTTGAGGGGGGAGCTGCTGGAAGACTGTGGGGCTGGCTTCAGAGTACTGGGGGCCGGTCCTCTGTGTCACTGAGTTCCAAACAGGCAAACTCAACCAGTTGGGGACTGAAGATAACTTGTTTAATTGCTTCTACATTGAATGAATGTGTATAGACTGTTTTTTGTGTTTTGCTTTTTTTTTTTTCAAGACAGTGTTTCTCTATGTAGCCCTGGCTGTCCTGGAACTCACTGTGTAGAGCAGGCTGGCCTTGAATTCACTGAGATACTCCTGCCTCTGCCTCCCACGTGCTGGGATTAAAGGCGTGGGACACCACTGCCCGGCAAGACTGCTTTATCCTTGTCGCTATTTTCTGAACACTAGGTGAAACGGCTGTCTGGTCAGACTGCGGTTGTAACCTGAGCTGGCTACAGCAGATGGAGGGTGTGCAGGCTCTACGCCAGTCCCAGCCCACTCCTTTTACTTTTTGAGACAGAATTGCACTGTGCACCCCCATTTGGCCTGCAACTCAGTATGTAGACCAGGGTGGCCTTGAACTCAGAGATCTGCCTGGCTCTGCCTCCTAAGTGCTGGGATTAAAGGCAATCTTATAGAGGCATTTTCTCAATTTGTGGTCTCCCTCTTCTCAGATAACATTAATTTGTGTTAAGTTTTCAAACAAACAGGTTGCCATCCATCTACTGAAGTAACCATCCATCCATCCACCACTCATCCACCCATCACCCATCCATCCATCACTCATCCATCACCCATCCATCACTCATCCACCCATCACTCATCCACCCATCACCCATTCATCCAGCACTCATCCATCACTCATCCACCCACTCCTTTACTCGTACATTGCCCATGCATACTCTGTGTGAGGCCATTCGGGGTTCTGGGAACCAGACAGTTCTCCCACCCCTAACAGTGGTTTAAAACTCACTCAACAAGGCCTGTGAGATGGCTCAGCTGGTAAAGGCACTTGCTGCAGAAACCTGGTGGCTTGAGTTCCATCTGCAGGACCCGTGGAAAGGTGGAAGGAGACCTCTGCGCTCTTACTGTAGCACATGCACACAAGCACGCATGAGCGTACACACAGCCATACTTCTGAACAAGTCCAGAAGAGGGTAGGAACTTTGGAGGAGTCATAGGTGAGGGTCTTCCCTAGTTGGCTGGCACAGCTTCCGGTGGGAATCTGGCCATGTGTACATGTGTCCTAGTGTAGGACCTGAGCAAGGTCCTACCCACAGAGCAGGGCCCAAGTCCACTAGTCCCGGGGACCCTGACCTCACCCGAGGTATCAGGAGGGCCGCTGAGCAGACGGTGTCCTTGCTCGCTTCCAGGGACGACCCGTGGCGTGTGGCAAAGATGGTCAAGTCCTATTTGCAGCAGCACAATATCCCGCAGCGGGAGGTGGTCGACACCACGGGTCTCAACCAGTCCCACCTGTCGCAGCACCTCAACAAGGGCACGCCCATGAAGACGCAGAAGCGGGCCGCTCTGTACACCTGGTACGTCCGCAAGCAGCGAGAGGTGGCTCAGCGTAAGTAATGACCCCAGCCTGTGTCCTCCCTGGCAGGGCTCACAGCTCTCCACAGCTCACGGTGGGGTGGGAGTGTCGCCACCCCCATCGCACAGACAAGTGTGACTGAGAGGGAGCCAGAAGGACGTCCCCGAATTTCCTGCCCACTCTGAGCAAGGCACCGAGGGAAGGGAGCCGGACTGGTCCCGGGGATCCCGGGCATCTATAGATACACATACTGAATCTCTCCTTCCAGGAAATTGAGAGTGATGGCTATGATAGGGTGAGATGTGGATTATACATGCTAACAACGAAGCCCAGCAATAGTATTGAGCACTTGCTGTGTGCTGGGTTAGTGCTGAGGAAAATAATAAGCAGACTGTGGAGGGGAGAGTAAGCCCCTCTATCTCAGGGAGCCGAGGTTTCTGGGCGGTCCCATGGGATGCATGACCATTACTTAGGTCTTAAAGTGTCCCTGCGGAGGTATAAAGAGGGTGTCGCAATCAAGAGGAACAGCATGAGAAGCTCAGCCGCTATTACTTAAGCAACAGTTCTCAGCATTCCTAACTCAGTGACCCTTTAATGCAGTCCCTCATGTTGCCGGGACCCCAATTGCCACTTCATAACAGCAACTTTGCTACTGTTATGAATCATAATGTAAATATATGACACGCAACCCCTGTGGGGTTGTGACCCACAGGTTGAGAACTGCTGACTTAAGAGACTGATGGGCTTCTTTCTCAATCTCTCTCTCTCTCCTCCTCCTCCTCCTCTCTCTCTCTGTCTCCTCCTCTCTCTCTCTCTCCTCTCTCTCTGTCTCCTCTCTGTCTCCTCTCTCTGTCTCCTCTCTCTGTCTCCTCTCTTTCTCTTTCCTCTCATTCCTGAGATTGAACACAAAGCCTCACACATGCACAGAGTTAACTTCCCAGCCCTCTGTTTACTTTTTGAGACAGGTCTCACTATGTAGCCCAGGTTGGTCTTGAACTTGTGATCTTGCTGACTCAGCTCCCAAGTGCTTGGATGGTAAGTGTGTTCTGCTACATCCAACTTGGTATCACTCTTTCTAATGTTTCTAACAGTTGGCTGTTAATGGGAGACATCGTGGTTTGTTTAACTAGCCACTTACTAAGGGACTTTATTTTTGGTTTTTAGAGACAGGGTTTCTCTGTAGCTTTGGAGCCTGTCCTGGCACTCACTCTATAGACCAGGCTGGTCTCGAACTCACAGAGATCCACCTTACTCTGCCTCCCGAGTGCCCCGACTAAAGGTGTGTGCCTTCACCGCCTGGCTGACATTATTCTTTTTTGTGAATGTTTGGATTGCTTCTGATCTTTTTTTTTTTTTTTTTTTTTGGTTTTTAGAGACAGGGTTTCTCTGTGGCTTTGGAGGCTGTCCTGGAACTAACTCTTGTAGACCAGGCTGGCCTCGAACTCACAGAGATCCACCTTACTCTGCCTCCCAAGTGCTGGGATTAAAGGCGTGCGTCACCAATGCCCGGCGCTTCTGATCTTTTGATCCTGTGAATAGGACTGCTCAGAACATTTTCCCTTACACTTTTTTGCTAAAGGTGTACACACAATTCTATTGGCTGTGAGTTAGTGGGTCTTATTAGATCCTGCCCAGTTGTTTTGTACTCCATCCAGCAGGGCTCTGCATTCCAGGTGCTTCAGAATCATTGTCAACATTTGTTAATGTGCATCTTTCTCATTTTAACCATGATGTACACGTGGTGGTATTTCTTTTTGGTCTTTGTTTTTGTTGTTGTTGTTTTTGAGACAGGGTTTCTCTGTGCAACAATCTTAGCTGTCCTGGAACTCATGCTGTAGACTAGGCTGGCCTGGAACTCACAGACATCCACCTCCCTCTCAAGTGCTGGGATTAAAGGCATGTACCACTACCACCTGTCTGTATTGTGGTTTTAATTTAATTGTATTTTTTTTTGTTTTGTTTTTCAAGACAGGGCTTCTCTGTATTGCTTTGAAGGCTGTCCTGGAACTCGCTCTGTAGACCAGGCTGGCCTCAAACTCACAGAGATCTGCCTGCCTCTGCCTCCCGAGTTAAGTTTAAATTTTTTTGGTAATTCATTACATTGATCTTACCATATAGTTATTGGAATTCATCTTTAAGAAGTATATATTCACAAGCGGTGGTGGCAGAGGTAGGTGGATAGCTGTGAGTTGGAGACCAGCTTGCTCTATATGCCAAGTTCTAGGACAGACAGAGTTGCATAGTTAGATGATGTCTCAAGGAAAAAACAAATGCTACTCTTCCTGAGGACTCAAGTTCAATTCCCAGCACCCACATCAGGTGTTTCATAGTCACCTGGAACACCCTTTTCAGGCCTCTGTCGGCACCCCCCCACACGATACTCACACACAAACAACAAATTCTAAAAATAAACAAAGTGTTTCAGGTTTAGGAGCCAAGCCATAGTTCTGGTATCTCAGGTCTGGGTGGTGGCTCCTGCCATCCTGCGGACAGAATTAAGATGGGGACCGCAGAGGCAGTGTGAGTGGGTATGAATGGGCCACAGCTGTGGAGAATGTGGTACTCAGGCCAAGTTAATTAACTGTTGTTTGGTTCGTTTGTTAAGACAGGGTCTCTCTGTGGAGCCCTGGCTGACCTTGAACTCACAGAGATCTGCCTGCCTCTGCCTCTGCCTCTGCCTCTGCAGTGCTGGGATTTATAGCACAAGTCCTCCTTTAGCAGAGGGTGGGGCTTGGCTTTGGCTTGGCCTCAAGACGGCATGCATACTAGGCAAGCTCTCCACCAACCGACTCCCAGCTCCAGTCCAGATTAGATGACTTTAGTCTTAGCCACCAACTGCTCTGTTTCGGCACCAGAAAGACAGAGGATGGGGGCCATCAGGTGAGCTGACCATGAAGATGGGTGTGATCAATGTCCCACTTACCTCTCTGTCCTGACAGAATTCACCCACGCGGGGCAAGGGGGACTGATCGAAGAGCCCACCGGTGACGAGCTGCCGACCAAAAAGGGAAGGAGGAACCGGTTCAAGTGGGGCCCGGCATCCCAGCAGATCCTGTTCCAGGCCTATGAGAGGCAGAAGAATCCCAGCAAGGAAGAGCGGGAGACCTTGGTGGAGGAGTGTAACAGGTAGAGTGGTGGGCTAGCCAGGGCTAAGACTAAGCTGGGGAAGGGAAGGTGTCTCTGGGTCCTCATCAGGGCTGGCCAGTCTCTGAGAGCTCTTGCTGTCCATAGAGAGGAGTTAGCTTTTCCCATTACTTTGAATTGAATTCCCAGCGTCCCCCACCCACCCCGGCAACACTTCAGGGGGAGGGTCACTCACCTCCTATCATCTCCTCTACAACCCTATGAATATTTTGTTCACATCGTGACTAAGGTTGGAGGGGCTAAGTCCTTGTCCAAGGTCACACAGCAGGACTAGTACAGTAATCCAGGCCTGGGTGGACCCCACTTCTCAGCACCGTCCTTCCTCCTCTGATGGGTGCCATCTTTGTAGGGCGGAGTGCATCCAGAGGGGGGTGTCACCATCACAGGCACAGGGGCTAGGCTCCAACCTTGTCACGGAGGTGCGTGTCTACAACTGGTTTGCCAACCGGCGCAAGGAAGAAGCCTTTCGGCACAAGCTGGCCATGGACACATACAACGGACCCCCACCAGGGCCAGGCCCAGGCGCCACACTGTCTGCTCACAGCTCCCCTGGCCTGCCCACATCCGCCCTCTCCCCCAGTAAGGTCCACGGTGAGCACTGTGGGGGAAGGGAATTGGGCTAGGAAATGAAGAGAAAAAGTGGGTGGGCAGATGGGCTGGAGGGGGTTCCCAGGTGGTGGCAACCACCCCCAAATATTCTGTACCCCCCTCCACTGTGGGTGCCCACTCTGTCCATTATGTCTATGCTCCACCGCTACCCCCACCGTCCACCTTACTTTGTCCACGCCATGTCCCCCCTTTGCTTTGTCTCCTCCTACTGCCTTCCATCCTTCTCACTCCGCTCTCCCGTCCCCACTGACTCCAGCTCACACTCTGTACCCCGCCCACTTCATTCAGCCGGATCCCGCCCCCTCACTAATGCCGCATCCACGCCACAGCCTCGCTGTTCATCCCACTCCAACCCTCTGTAGTCAACCTGACTGGCCCTCCGGTTACTCCAGTGCAACAAACCACTTCGAATCTATCCATTCCAACTGTTCTACCCATTCATGTTCAGATCACGGTCTAATCCAGCCATTCAGTCTGACCCGCTGATTGCACAGGGTCCGGTTCACTGTGCATGGTATATATATCCATTGGTGTCTCGGAACTGGGGCCGGGACCTCTTGCAGGCACCACATATGGTCTTTCCTTCTCACCCACGCACATCCTACTGTATACTGTAGACGACTTATGATACCCAATGCAGTGGAATTACGATGTAGACAGTTATACTGCACCGACTAAGGACTAGTGACAAGAAAACAAACCTGCATGTATTCGGTGCAAATGTGGAACTTTTTCCAAACATTTTCGATCCAGCAGTTGACTGAATCTGAGGCTTCAGCACCTGTGGATAAGAGGCTGGCCGTGAAGCTCAATTCAATTTCGTCCAGTTCAATCGGATTCTGGTCAGATCAGCAAAAGCTCTATCTAATTCAACTCGGTTCTGGCCCCATTTAAGGAGACTTAATTTAATTTGGCCAATTGCAGTCCATTCTGCTCAACTCAGTTCATTTCCATTTAGTTCTTATGAGGTACTGTGTAGCTCAGTCCCATTGTTCTTTGAGTGTCTTCTACAGAGAGGGACACACCAGGCAGTGGGGGACACAGGACCATGAATTAAAAGAGCTGGAAGCAGCCAGCACGGGGGGGGGAGAGGAAAGACGAGTGCCAAAACAAAAACAAAAACAAAAAAGTAGGCTCTGGTGTGGTGAGGTCTGTGGGGCAGGAGAGGTCGGGAAAGTGGGGTGCTGAGGCTAGACATTGCTCCCCACTCTAGGTGTGCGGTACGGACAGCCTGCAACCAGTGAGGCAGCTGAGGTGCCCTCAAGCAGCGGTGGTCCCTTAGTGACAGTGTCTGCGGCTTTACACCAAGTGTCGCCCACAGGCCTGGAGCCCAGCAGCAGCCTGCTGAGCACTGAAGCCAAGTTGGTGAGTGAGCTGCTACACCCTGTGTGGAGTCCCCTCCTAGCCCCATGTTCTATGGCTAGGAGACAGTGTGAGGACACTCCAACTCAACTTGACCTACTCTTACAGGTCTCAGCCACTGGGGGTCCCCTGCCTCCAGTCAGCACCCTGACAGCACTGCACAACTTGGAGCAGACGTCTCCAGGTCTCAACCAGCAGCCACAGAACCTCATCATGGCTTCACTGCCTGGGGTCATGACCATTGGACCTGGGGAGCCTGCCTCCCTGGGCCCCACATTCACTAACACAGGCGCCTCTACCCTGGTCATTGGTAAGCAGGTGGGGATGATGGGGACCCCTGTGTCTCCTGAAGTCTGGGATCTGGAAAGAGCCACAGGAGCTCATCCATCCATTCATCCACCCACCCATCCACCCACTCACCCATCCATTATCCACCTACCCATTCACCCACCCACCCACCCATCCACCCACCCATCCATCCATCCACCCATCCATCATCCATCCACCCATCCAACACCTGCGTGCCTGTGGCCAGGCACCCATGATCCCAGACAGTGGACCAAACAGAACTAATGAGCACAGTGTAGAAACTACACTGAAATCACAGTCTGAGAAGACCACAGAGTAAGGATGCATGCGTGTGATGTTTTCTAGGGTCTTGGCTTTTTTTTTTAAGTTGCAAACCATTTATATGCAAGAACTACTGCTCAATATCTAAAACATAGGGAGCTGCTTGAGGAGGGGAGCAGAGAGTGAACCCCGGGGACTTTGCCTCTAATCTACTCCCAGCCTGCCTTTCCCACTAGGCCAGATGAGGAGCTAAAGGCCACTTGTTTGTGGCTGGTCCTACTGCAGGGCTGCTTCTCAGCCCCTCCCCTCCCTCTTTTAACCCACAGGTCCTGGGAAGGAGGGCTAGTGTCCCTCAGAGGGTCTGGGGTGGGTCTGGGGGGGCACAGGGTGGCAGGGGTCTGGGGTGGGCCTGGGGGGGGCACAGGGTGGCGGGTATGAGGCTTGGCTGACTCCTGCTTGTCCCGCACCAGGTCTGGCCTCCACTCAGGCACAGAGTGTGCCGGTCATCAACAGCATGGGCAGCAGCCTGACCACCCTGCAGCCGGTCCAGTTCTCCCAGCCACTGCACCCCTCCTACCAGCAGCCACTCATGCCCCCTGTACAGAGCCACGTGGCCCAGAGTCCCTTCATGGCCACCATGGCCCAGCTGCAGAGCCCCCACGGTAAGCATCCCTCACACTGGTCTAGGGGAGGTGGGCTAGGGGTTGGCTGTGGGTAGGCTCAAGACAGAGCAGGTAGCAGGTGCTGTGGTCTGCTTGTGTGTGGTGCAGGTATCTACAGGCCACCAGCCTGCTTCTGTGTGTGCACAGGAGCTCGTGTGAACTTTTCAGTGTGTACAATGCTGGTGTACCGGTCACATTCCCAGGTCTGTTTGTCTGGGTGCTGGGATGCAGGCCACAGCCTATTACCTGAAACCCTTGGGGCTATGCACACTTCAGTTTATGACTTTTCCAGTTTTAGAAAGGTGGCTTGTGGATATATCACGTGTTACATACTACTCCCAGTACAGCATGGGCAGTGCCTGTCCACAGAGCACTGTTATTCCTGAAATAAAAGATGGGACTATATGCAGTAGATTAAAGATTCATGCAGGGCTGGGGGGAAACAGCTCAGTCAGTAAAGTGCTGAAGACACATCCTTCAGAAGCCGTGGGGCATGGGACATGGCGGTGTGTGCTTCTTATAACCCCAGAGCTGACGAGGTGGAGGTTGACTGACGACCCCTGGGGCCCATGCCAGTCGGTCTAGCCTGCTTGGTGAGCTCCAGGCCAGTGGGAGAACCGTCTCAAAAACCAGGGTGGGTGGTTCCTGATGAACCACAGCTGAGGTTTTATTGGCCTCACATGCCTATAGTTGTATGTGGACAGACAGACAGACAGACACACACACACACACACACACACACACAGATGTATGCATGCACACTTACATAACCTCACACCACATTTGCATGAAGCTGCCCACCAACTTTGGGGACCTGTGTTGAGGCTGAAAATGAATCTTTCTGTGTGGGTGTCCCATCCTGGGAGAGCATGCCATTACTATCAGCGCTCAAGTCTCCTGGAGAGTCTAGAAGGGAAACTTTGTTTCATGTTGGAGTTGTCCTGGAGATAGAGGTATTGCGAGCCTCTGCTCTGCTTACCTAGATGGAGGCTGCCAGTCTTTCCTTCAGATGCCTGCGTTTGGTACACAGCACCTGCACATGCTGCTGTGGTCCCTTTGCTTAGCATAACATACTGGGAACAGAACTAGAGAGCCCCCGCACTTGGTACAACAGTTCCACCTACGTTTACTGTAGCAGTAACTGTGTCTATACATCCCCTGTACGTAGCACAGGCCTACTGTGCCTCTGCTCCTCGTTTGCTTATACATAGCTGGGTTGTATTCCACCTAGGGCAGTGGGGGAACAAACGCACAGTGAGCTGAGTTGATGCTGGGCCTTCGCCTGGCTGCTCCCCACCCTGCTTAGCTAAATAGGCCTCTATAATGGGAAGATAGGGTCCATCTCTCCCACCTGGATCCCCAAGCATCACTCCAACATGGTAGTCATCAGGTCCCATGCCCACTTCTCACAGACTGCTGAGTCTTGAGGGAAGGGTCCAGGGAGCCACGTCTATCTATCTGTGTCCTCTCTTCCAGCCCTCTACAGCCACAAGCCTGAGGTGGCCCAGTACACGCACACAAGCCTGCTTCCGCAGACTATGCTGATCACGGACACCAACCTCAGCGCCCTTGCCAGCCTCACGCCCACCAAGCAGGTAAGGCCCTGCGTCCTGAATCCCCACCCAGAGTCCCACTTCCAAGCCATGGGCTCAGGGTGTTACCCTGGTTCCCCAGGTCTTCACCTCAGACACAGAGGCCTCCAGTGAGCCTGGACTTCATGAACCATCGTCTCCAGCCACCACCATCCACATCCCCAGCCAGGACCCATCTAGCATCCAGCACCTGCAGCCGGCTCACCGGCTCAGCACCAGTCCCACCGGTGAGCGGTCTGCTGTCTCCCAGTAGGATGAGGTGGTGTGTTCAATGATGGAGTGAGGGGGGATGAGGGGGGACCTCCTGAATGGAGGTCAGAGGCCAACATTCAGGAGCTGGTTCTCTCTCCAGCACGTGGGTCCCAAGGACTGAACTGAGGTCATCAGCTTCTTTTACCCTTTCACCTACTCTGAATCACTCTTACCAACCATGCCATCTCCCCAGGGCTCAGTGCTTCATATTCTTTGAACAAGCAGCCAGCGTTATAAATTCAGCTTTTGCTGGGCAGTGGCAGGGGCTTCTCTTTGTTTGAGACCAGCCTGGTTCACAAAGTGGGTTCCAGGAGAGCCAGAGCTGTTACACAGAGAAACCCTGTCTCGAAAAACCAAAACAGCAAACGAAAACCAAAGAACTCAGCTTTCACCTAGGAGTCTGGATCTCTGCTCATCTGTGAAGCTGGGAGGACTCATGTTCTTACATCACAGCAGACATGCATGCACCCTCAGTCTGTCCCACTCCTGGGCTGAGGTCTGGGGTATCCTCCACCCCCAATTTTGCGATTCAGGAAAGCTGCTATCCTCTGGAGCCTCAGGTCCCCCCACTGGCCCTTGGGGCTGTAACGGCAGTTACTGGAGACACTGTCTCATTGCACAGAAGGGCAAATGCACACTCACAGCGCTGGGGGAACCATCCCTAGACACGTTAGTGTTTGACTCAGCCCAGCATCCAAGAGGCTCCCTGTAGGTCCTGAGGGGAGAGGGCCGATTGGGCTCCTGGAATCTGTTGTGATTCAGGATGTGAGGTTCCCTAGGGACAGGCAGGTAGGGTGGAGGTCAGAGTGGGGTTGGCTGACAGCCGGTGACCGCGTTTGCTTCTGCAGTGTCCTCCAGCAGCCTGGTGTTGTACCAGAGCTCGGACTCCACCAACGGGCATAGCCACCTGCTGCCATCCAACCATGGTGTCATCGAGACTTTTATCTCCACCCAGATGGCCTCCTCCTCCCAGTAACCATGGTGATGGCCTCTCAGGAGCTGGGTTCCCAGAGCCCACACTGCCTGCATAGGGGGTGAGAAGGCCAAGGCCATGCTGCCTGGAGGACATCTGCGACTGCCATGTGTCTCCTGCCGTAGGCTGGTGGCCTTCCCATACACCCCCGCTTTCACCCGACTTCTCCAGCAGCATCAGAGAGGGATGGCTCTGGGGAGTCTCACCCTGAGAAGGGACCATAAAGGGCTTGAGGACAGCCCGGTCTGGACAGCGTTGGAAGACCATCCTCCTGCAGAGAATAGGGAACTCGACACTTGGGACAAAGGGGAGCCTGTGATGCTGGTACCCACACAGGATCTCTGTGTTGAGCTTGGGGGCCTAGATCCACATGGCTGCCTCCTGTCTCCTGTGCAACCCCAGGCCATCCCACGAGCACCAGCAACTTCCAGTAAGCCACATGGCTGTTTGGCGGTCACCTACCCCAGCCCAGACAGGAATTCTCCAAGTGGCTGTTCTGTGAGGCCTGGGAGCTGAGGGGAAGGCATGCAGGGCTCTTCTGGGCTTTCTCAAATGGAGCCATCCCCTCTCCCAGCCTTAGGATCTCATTCACAGGCCATCTGCTGATGCCAGCCTGGTATCTCGTCTCCAAGGCCACTTCAGGGACTCTTTCTTCCTGGTGCGGGGGAGGCAGGACTCAGAAGGCAAGGCTGAGCTGTGTCTGGTGGACAGAATGCTGAGACCAGTAGAGAGAAGCCACCTATGCAGCCTGGGCTGAAGCCTGGGGGCTGCCAGCCATTCTGAGGAAGCCAAGGCTCTGAGTGGGGCTGTGAGGGGCAAAGCAGCTGTGAGAACCCAGAGCACATGACCTCATCTCCCCGGCTTACTGCAGAGGACCTGGCTCCTGGTGGGCTCCTGTCTAGGACTGAGGAGGGCCTGGAGACAGCCAGTGTTCCCTGCAGCTCACAGCCAGCCATGGACAAGCCTGTACATTTATTTAACTTTTAGTAAAGTCAACGAAAAAATGTATGGGAGCTCCCTGCTTATCTCTCAGCGGCCAAGAGGGAAGGCAGAAGGAAGTTGAGTGCCAGCCAGGGGCCTGAGGCACAGACATGTCTGGGACACATGTTCACACATCTGTTTCCCTTGTTTAATGGAAATGAGGCAAGGTGACTCCATCTGCGCCTGTAACTCCTCCTTGCAGAAGATTCACTGCAAGAAACCTAGTCCATGTGTGGTGCCATTTCCTGGAGTCTGGAAGCTGGGATGAGGAAGTCGATCTGAGGGTGTGGATGTGGGTCCCACATGTGGTTTTTAGTTAAGATGTCCCCTAACTTTCAGCATTGAGGATGTGGCTCGGTGGCAGAACACTTGCAGGCTTGATCCCTGGCAACAATCATCACAGCACTGATGGCTCATTCTTGTCACCCTACTCGGGAGGCAGAAGCAGATTGGCCGGTCTCAGGCCAATTTGAGCCACACAGAGACACCTTTTCAGACAAACAATAAAACAAAGAGGGTCGTCACCAAGCAGAGGCAGTACCTCGTCTTCACCTTGGTTAGCACCGAGCAGGTGCAATACCTAGCCTACATCTTGGGTCACCTGACTTATTTTCCCCTTTTCTCTTTGGTGCTGGGGACAGAACTCGGGGCTCTGTAGCTAAGCCTGCACCCTGGGAACATTAAGTGGGTCCCCAGCACTCTGATACCTGATTTTCAATAACTGAGCTGACTTAGACACATTATTATGGATAGTATATTAACAATTTGGAGTAAGAAAATTCTGGGGGGAAAAGAAGGGAGAGAATACCTTTCTTTTCTAGACAACGTTAAGTCTGTGTGGGCTGGGGGAGAGGTACAGAAGTTTTTCTGGGCCTCAGTAGCTTAGAGAGCCCTCCCCCTCATCCTTAAAGATCACTTGTCACACCAGGCTGGGCAGGTGTGAGACACACACACACACACACACACACACACACACACACACACACACACACACACACAGCTCTGCGCCTTTCCATCCAGCCCTGCTCAGGCTTCTCCACACACTGAAGTTACCAGGTCACCAGTGAGCAGAAGCAGTGCTGGAACCTGGAGGAAGTATGGCTTGGCCTTGTCTTTGACCCCACGGGTGCCTCATTCTCAAGAGCCAGTGGCCGTGGCGCCTACAGCCTGGAGTCAGTTTTCAGGCGTCAGCGGCTGGGCACAGAGAAGTCTCCCTGGCTTTCTTGGCCTTTTTCCTCCTTTTCTTCTTTTTGATCCCAAGCGATGCTGGGTCCCCATTGACGCTGCCTGCCTCCTTGACCTGTTTCAGGCCTGTGGCTCCAGCCAAGTCAATGCCCGCCTCCTTCTTGGCTTTCTTTTTCAACTTCTTCTCTGCCTCCTTCTGCACCTCGGCAGGATGGTGTATGGCTGACTCCTGGAGAACATCCGAAGCGGACACAGCTGCCTCTCGGCACCGCTGCCACTCCTCGTCACTGTCTTCGCTGCTGTTAGGGAGAGTCACAAGATTAGTGGCCATCTGGACAGGCCTTACAGCTGCCTTGCTGCCTCGGGCTCAGGACGAGGTAGACTCAGGGTCCAAGGTCAGCTTCTCTGCTTGTCAGTCATGTGACCTTACCTCACTGAACTCAGGGCCCCCACCTACGTCGAGGGACTTTAACAGCACCCAAACCTCACAGAGCATCTCAGGAGACAAGGACGGTAGGGGAGGGATCTGCTCCAAGATGGCTGCTCAAGATGTGTGGAGAGCCTTAGCTCCCCCTAGAAGACCCTGTACGCTTCCTGCTGGGGCACACTGCCTTGTCACCTCATAGGCCTCTTCCCTTGGTCTGGACCTTTCTGGGGCCGATTAGTTATTTCACTGCATCAGCCAGGAGAGGAGAGGCTGTGGGCTCTCACCTGGAGCTGGGAGGCTGTCGCTTTTGGCAGGGTTTCGGAGAAGCTTCCTTCTCGTGGCCTCCAGGGATAGATGTGAAGAAAAGGCGGAAGCCTAAGAATTGTGGGGACAGAGCCAGCAATTAGAGAAGCGGGCACCACCCCGTCCTCAGACATCCCAGTCTAGTGGTAAAGGCTCAGGCACCCCTGTCATGTGTGTGTAAACCAAGGCTTGTCTGAGAAACCGCTTGCTTGCTCTCCTATGGAGCTGGGGGTGGTGCTGGTGTGTGTTTCCATCCAGACAGCAAACATCAGCCGCTTCTGGTAGACACTGTTTTGAAACAGGGTCTCTCTATGTAGCTCTGGCTGTCTCACAGCTTGCTATGTAGACCAGGCTGACCTCAAACTCACAGAGATCCACCTGCCTCTGCCTCTGCCTCAAGTGCAGGGATTAAAGGCCTGTGCCACACACCCAGCCTTCAGAAGCTTCCAGAAGTCAGCAATTGAGCCTCTTACCTGTGGCAGCCCCCCAAAAGGCCCAAGTATAAGACACGATCAGACGGAGTGGGCGGGAAAGACTGTGGAATGAGAGGGCAAAATGCTTCTGCAGGCACCAGGGCAAGTGAGGGTTCTCACAGCTAGCTCATGCTGAGCACGGGGCACCAAAGTTCCTGCCTCAGAGTGTGGGGAGAGCAGACGCGAGAAGAAACCTGCGCCACAGCGCTGCTGGCCCACAGGCACACAGTGGCAGCTCCCCACGGCAGCACTTATGGGCACTTTAACGACTCACCATCGTCCTCCTCTGCTACCTGCCGCACCTCCGCCTTGCGTGGCTTCTTCCACACTTCTGAGATGGCGATGGAGCTAAGAGAGAGGAGGTGCCAGACTTAGGATGACATTTTGGGTAACAACAAAAGTACCCTTTGTTTTTTGTTTTTTCGAGACAGGGTTTCTCTTTGGCTTTGGAGGCTGTCCTGGAACTCACTTGGTAGTCCAGGCTGGTCTCGAACTCACAGAGATCCGCCTGCTTCTGCCTCCCGAGTGCTGGGATTAAAGGCGTGCGCCACCAACGCCCGGCTACCCTTTGTTTTTAAATCTAAAATTTTTCTTTGTTTCTTCTTTCTGTCTGTCTTATTTTGGGGGGGGGGTGGGTTTGGGGCACAAGATTGTAATCCCAGAATTTGGGAGGCTGAGGTAAGATCACGAGATAAAGCACACTCCTGCTCACCTGTCCAGCATGGCCCCCAGCTTTTTGGCCACATGGGCTCGGAACTCAGGAGTGGTCTGAAGCTCATTGCCATCTTCATCGTGCTGGTTCACCTCACGCCTGTAACACACGCAAGGACATCACTTCCTGACAGCTTAGCTGAGGAACCACTTGTCTTGTTCCCACTGACACCCTGTGGTCTAACCTAGCATCTGGGACACACAGGGCACCAACATTCGTTCAGTGACTTAGGAGCCTCTATCTGAAGCGCAACACAGTACCTGAGGCTTCGCTGGGATGGCGCGGGAGCTTGTTTACCTGCAGCATCTGTGGAAAGATAAAAAACCATGCGTTTACACAGTGAACAACAGTGGCTGTGGGCCAAGTACATTTTAAGTGATTACATATATGGCTCAAGGACTCACCCACTCCCCCATTTCCACTTGAGAGGTGACCATTATCCCCATTCTGCCAAAGCGATAAAGCCAATGAATGACATGTAAAACAATTTGGCTAAGGTTGAAAAACTAATTTTTTTAAAAATGAGATTTAGTTACATAGCCCAGGTTAGCCTGGAGCTCATGCATGACTAATAGCTAATTTAATGGGAGCTAGAAACAGGGTACAGGTCTTTTGGTTCCAGAGGCCTCTTAATGCTTAACGGGCAAGACTACTTGATGTGATTATGGTTTATTGAGTGTCTGCTATGCAGAGCCATATGCTGTGGGGAAGAAACTGGGGAGTCCACTGAACAAGGTGATGAATGGCGGCCTGGTTCACCAGGCACTTGCCACCAAGCCTGACAACTTGAGCTTGATTCCCCCAGACCCACATGGTGGAAGGAGAGAAGTGATTTCTGATATCCACATGTATGTTGTGGCACCTGTGTGCATGTGCACATGTGTATGGACACACAGAGCAAACGTAATGAAAAATGTAAGGATCACTTTTTTTTTTTTTTTTTTTTTTTGGTTTTTTGAGACAGGGTTTCTCTGTGGCTTTGGAGGCTGTCCTGGAACTCGCTTGGTAGTCCAGGCTGGTCTGGAACTCACAGAGATCCGCCTGCCTCTGCCTCCCGAGTGCTGGGATTAAAGGCGTGCACCACACTTTTAAAAAAGATATGGCGGCCCCCCCCTTTAATCCCAGCACTGAGGCAAAGGCAGCCAGATCTCTGTGAGTTCAAGGCCAGTTTGAGCTACATAGTGAATTCCAGGACTGCAAGTTCTATCCAGAGACACCCTGTCTCAAAAACAAAACAAAACAAAACCCAACTAACCAAACAAAACACCTTTCATAGTGTTATATACGTCGTTTTCATGTCCACCCCCTTCCTTGACTTGACATGTTTATCATCGTTGTTGTGTGTTTAAGAATACACTCTCCTTCTACCATGGGTTCCGGGGTCCTTGAGCCGTCTACTGACCTAGGAATGGGTCCAAAAATTACAGGAATTTTAAAGCAGAGGGTGGTAGTGTCAATGATTTCTTTTCAACATTGTACTGTGGATAAAATACTTGGGGGTCCCTGTAAAAGACTGTAATGGGAGGGATATAACAATTTGGTGACAAAGTCGCAGGTATTGTTCAATGACTGTGGCTTGTTTCTCACAAGCATGAGGAGGGGGGAAAAGATGTTAAATTTCAGTTAGGAGTTCATGCAAGATGCAGTATTTTTTCTATTTCAAATCACAGGGCCCGTTGGATTCTCTAACCATGATTAAGAACCCTGTAGTGACAGACTCGGGATTTACTTCTAGTGTGCTAGGGAACCACGGTTGGACAGCATGAGCACCAGGGGAGGCCGGACAGTGAGAGCACAGGAACGGGTGCTTCAGAAAGCTCCTCCAAGACGCCAAGACGCCGCGACCCCACCGTCCATCCTTTACAGGCCCCCGGGGAAGAACCCCGCCCCTCGGACGGCCCCCTACCGGATCTGGGCTTCTCTGCTCCCTGCGGGCGCTGCTCCAGCCCCCAGGCGGGCATCGCCGCCTCCCGGCACCGCGCCAGCTCCTCGGCATCGCTGTTACTACTGCTGCTGCTCTCGGAATCGCTCATGGTACCACTGGGCGCCACCATCTTGAGGTGCCGCAAAGGATTGTGGGGAAAGCGCCCATTTTTTGATTCGACGTCTCCATTTAACATGACTCACGTGAGCGCCGGGGACGCTCAGAGCATTATGGGGATTGTAGTTCTCAGACCGCCGTTGGTCGTGAACCGTCCTGAAAGAGGAGCTCTTGAAGGGTCCAAGGGACCAGCTTCTTCAATCCTTTTTTCTCTCCTTTTCTTTTCCTTAGCATCTATTTTCTCTTCTTTCCTCCTTCCTTTTACCCCTCTCTATATTTCTTGATTTTTATTTATTTATTTATTTTATTATGTTGATATAGGGTCTTGCTGTGTAGCTTATGTTAACCTGGAACTTTTTCTTCACCCTCCTGTGGTCTGGGGTTTCAGGCATGCACCCCCATACCTGGCTTCCAATATTTACTGGATGGGGAAATATATGTGTGTGTGTATATATAGGATATATATCATATGTAAGTGATATATATATATATATATTATATATAGAACAATAATACCCTAAAGCCAAACAAGAAGGTAGTGACAGAAGCAGGATTAGCTGTTTTATTAAAGGAAAAAATGAATTTATTTGCGATTTGATGAAATTTGGAAGGCAACTACCCACCTTTTTTAGTTCAGATTTTGATCTTAGGAAGACTGCTAAACTATAGGCTTTCAGGGTCTTACAAACAAAGCAAATCAGGTCAGAACGACTCTTGGAGTAGCTGAGGCCTTGCCAGGTACAGCATAGTCCATAAGACAACTGCAGATGAACACTTAAGCAGACCTGTTTCCTAAACTCCTCCTGTGACAAGTACATGAGGGGATATTTAAAGTGGGTTGGATGAACGGTTTAGTCTGGGAAATACTGCGATTTTGCACCCCCCCGCCCAGCATCTTAAATTGTGGGGAACTGAATGTGGTTGGTCATGAAGAGTTAGGAAATAGTAAAGATTTCTGAATGTGGGAAGAGCAAAAGCATTTCAAAGTCAAGCATGTGATGGACCTGTGATGTTTCTGGCACTTGCATAACTTTACTGCAGCATTGAACACATGATGTGTACACTGTACTGCATGTGTCTCCATACCACGTAACACCAATGAATGCTGAAACTCACTGGCTTAGCTATGGGACTAATGTGGTATGCCATGAATGGCAGTGATCTTCCACCTCTCTCTCTCTCTCTCTCTCTCTCTCTCTCTCTCTCTCTCTCTCTCTCGTCAGACAGGTTTTTTTTAAAGCCGAAATGTCATTCCTGAGCACATACCAAATCAGTACATCTTTGGATTGGTTTCTGTTAGAATATTTGATTGTAAAAGTTGCTAACTTAGGGCTGGGGGAAATGGCTTAGTAGTTAAGAGCACTGACTGTTCTTCCAGAAGACCCAGGTTTAATTCTCACCGGTCTGTATCCCTAAGGTCTGACACCCTCACACATGCAGGCAAAATACCGATGCAAATGAAAAGTTGCTAACTTGGATTTCTTTAGAAAAATGGTAGACGTCTGTCTTGGTTTTAGGATAGCATTTCCAACAACTTCTGAAATGGCCTTAAATATGTGTCTGCTGTTTTGTACAGTGCATTTCTGAGAAGAGGCATTCTCAGCATCGATGATTATGGAGCCAAAATATTGATCCACTCTGACAAACATTCAAGGAGTTCTGTGTCCCACAGTATCAAATGTATCTATCTCATTACCAGGCAAAATTGCTTTTGTCTCTTTTCACGGGTGTGCATTTGTGCAGGTTCATGCATATGTAGATTCGTGTGCACATAGGTGGGCTGTCTCTCACCTTTGCTGTCTCCCTTGTTTTTTTTTTTTTTTGTTTTTGTTTTTTTGAGACAGGGTTTCTCTGTATTGTTTTGGAGCCTGTCCTGGAACTCACTTGGTAGACCAGGCTGGCACTCGGGAGGCAGAGGCAGGCGGATCTCTGTGAGTTTGAGGCCGGGCTGGACCAACAGCCTCCAAAACAATACAGAGAAACCCTGTCTCGTAAAACCAAAAAAAAAAAAAAAAAAAAAGGTTTGTATTACATGTATTTATTCGTGTGTAATGTTTGGCATAAACCCAACCACAATATCCTTTGGCAATAAAAATGTGGGTTTGTTTTTTTTTTTTGTCTCTAGACTATTATGGGCAGAAAACTTTGAGTCAGGGTCTCACCATGTAGCTCTGGCTGGTCTATAACTTGCAATGTAGACCAGCCTGGCCTCCAACTCACAGACATCTACCTGCTTCAGTTTCCCAAGTGCTGGAATCAAAGGCCTGCCACCATGCCCAGAAGGGATTTTTTAAAACTTTGTCTCATCTTCAATCTCTGAGACTTTGTCTCTTTTCATCTCAGGTTCTCTGTCCTCATCAATCCCTAGAGTTGAGAGTCATCTGTAGAAATGAATGAAAACCACTAAAACAGGAAGAAACAAAGGCTGTTTATTCTCAATTTAAAAGGTGCTTGATGTCCTACCTTGCCTTTGATAGTCAGAGGCCGGCAGAAGGGAGTTGGGGGACAGGGAAGGCTTCAACCCTGATAGAGGTTGCTGGTGTAGGGAAGTTAGAGATGAGACAACCTGAAGCTGGATCCATATAATTGGTTGAGAAGCCTATTTGGCTTCCTCTGAACAAGTTAAGAGTTTGTCAGTGAAACTGACCAAGTCCTGATAGTGTGACTATGAGGATTGCAGCAGTGACTACAGAAATTCCACTGTCACACACAGTGTCCGGCTATTGCCTGGTTGCATACGACTCCGCACATCCCTTCTGGTTCCATCCTGGCAGGGTACTGAAGACTTGAATCATCCCAGCAGAGGATTGGAAGGAGGATCACTAGGCCGAGTCTAGGATAAGACAGTGAGCAAAAATGCAGAGACGCTTACAGAGGAAACTAGCTGGGTGCAAATGGAACTTTCCCCTCCTTCTTCTTGGACAGGATGAGGGTGACACTGTCTTGGATGTCATAGGATTTAAAGTCAAACCAGTCCTGCAGGACATGGCCCTGGAACTCCAGCTGCTGCTCCTGGCTGGGAAAGCCCTGCCTGTCTTCAATCTGCTGTTTGAGGCTCAGGATGAAGTCAAGTGGGTGGATGGCATAGGCATGGCTCCCACCATTCGGGTTTTTCACAAAGACCTGGATCTCGGGGGAGATGGTGTCCAGCAGGCAGATGTGGATGTGGGAGAAGATTCCGTAGTAGGCCAGTGAGCAATGGCTTCTGAGGAGCTGCCGTGGGCCACCAGGTTCCTGAAAGGACAGACGCTGCAGGCCCGAGTAGCCCCGGCTCCGGCGGATTTTCTCTTTAAGTTTCTTTATAGGTTCATAAGGGTTCACCCAGAGGATTAAATCAGAGTGACCCCACTGCTCCACTGTCACCTGGATATCTGGTGCTCTCTGCAAGAGAGGAGAGGTGAGATTAGGGTCACATTTCTGTCTGATGACCTATAAATTCCCTTCCCAGATTCATCATTGTCATTGTCAGGAAGGACTCTAAGCCTAGGGTTATAGAGTTCTCAAGAAAAAAAATCCTCCAGCACAGTGGAAAGTGACATATATGTGTCATTCCAGCACTCAGAACATGGGGGTTGTGAGTTTGAGAGTATCCCGGGACACATAGTGAAGCCTTGCCTTAAAAATTCCAGAGGCACAGATTGGCCGGTGGTGGTGCACGTGCACCTTTAACTCCAGAACAGGCGGGTGGATCACTGTGAGTTTGAGGCCAGCCTGGTCTATATAGAGAGCTCCAGGACAGCCAGGGTTACATAGTTCTGGTTTCAGTAACAAACCCCAGAGGCACGCCCTTTCCCTCCCATCAATTAGTTTTATTTGACTGAAGCCCCTCGTTTTCTATGTGCACCTTACTTTAGAGCCTCTGCTCTAGTTTCTGCCTCTTGTTCCCATACACTCCCACTTCCTGTTCCTTTCTCTTCAACCTGCAGTCCATGGAGATAGATAAATGATAGACAGATAGATACATAGAGAGATTGTTTGTGTGTGTGTGTGTGTGTGTGTGTGTGTGTGTGTGTGATAGCATACACGTGGAGGGCAGACAACTTTCAGGAGTCACTTCTCCCCCCATGTAGGCACCAGGGATTCAGGGATCGAACTCAGGCCCTCAGGTTTAGCAGCAGTTCTCCTTACCCACAGAGCCATCTCACCAGCATTTATACCCTTGTCTGGTGCTTCGTGCTCACTTCCAGAAGGTAATCTTTCCAGGTGGTTCTAGCTAATGTTTACTGTTTCTAGAGCCTTGTTAAAGACCCAACTGAACCTTTGCTAATGGGCTTTGCTGTCTATCACCACTATGAGCTTGATTCATTGACTTTACCCTTGGGAGCCTCAGCTTGCTTTCTGAGAAATGGAAACAATCGTACTTACAGTAACAAACAAGAAAAATAGTGATAATGTTCAACCTTTTTATAGAATTGCCTGTGGAGATCAGTGGAGACAGCCCCTGGAAAAATACTTTGCAAATTGTAAATACTAGATTATTATGCTCTTTGCCTGTTGCCTGTGTCAGAGGTGTACCAAGGCAAGGTGTTTCTTAGCACTTTTCATTTTCAGAGAGTCTCATCTCTTCCAGTAACCTGTCTTGCAGGTGTGTGCAAGCTTGCTTGTATCTAACAGTGTTGTATACATTCCTTGAGGACAAGGTCGTGTCCCATTTCTGTACCCTCCACCCTCCCTCCTTCCTCTCTCACCAACCCCAAGTCTAGTGCTGGCGCCTAATGGCTGAGTGACTTGACATAGCTGTACTCAACACACTCAGAGATTAGCAATGGGAACCTGACATTCCAGTAGGGGAAGTATAAGGATGTAAGAGTTAGCATCTCAAGGCTTAGGAAGTCAAAGAATTCCCCAGGTTCATAACTGACTGCAGAGTGGTATCACAGGCTTCAGGCCTCTGAAGTGTTGTCTCCACAGGCCCCTACCTGGGAGAACCAACACTATGCAGGTATAGCATTGGGATTGCCAGGACACTGACAGTCCTTGGAGGAAGCATTACCTTCACAGTCCAGCTGGGGACTGGGGTGTCCCTGTTGTCATAGCAACAGTCCTGTTTCAGACACTGGTTGGCCCGCTGAGC